GGGAGGGGAGGGGAGGGGTGGGGGAGTCAGACTGAGGCTACACATTGCTGTGTTTTTAATTTTTTTCTTCAGGGCTGCACTTTTTCAGTGAGGAACATGAGACCAAGGGAGGGAACAGTGTGGAGGGAAAGAATAATGTCCCGGCTCACCTTTCAGTTCAGGGAGAACCACAGAATGGCAGGGGTTGTTAAAGACTATTTCCCTAAAGGATAATCACCGTAATGTTCCTGTAACTGACCTAGGCCTGTAGGGAATGTGTGTGTGGTGCTCGGGAGGGAATATATTGCAGCTTTACTTTAGTCCTTGACATTTTGTTTAGCATGTGATGTTTTAATTATTATTTTCTGTGGTTTGTTGGGCATAAAGGCTCTTACAGCTTTTAACTGTTCCACTCTATCATTCTCAGGTTAAAGTCCTATTGAGGAGCAGTAAGTAAGTGCTTATTAAGTATGAATCAAACACCAACATCCTCTGATTGACAATTCTTTAACATTTATCATGTTGTCCATTAGGTGCGTGCGTTCTCTGTAGTGCTTTGTGATGGTGACATGTCGGGCTTAGAAAGCATTATGCTAGGTTCACAGTGCATGACAAAGTGGCCCGTACCTGACTTTTTGTTGTATGTGACTCAGATTGGATTCTTTTTTTTCATGACAGTGTAGACAACATAAATCACACTGAATCTGATCTTTTCAATTCAGATTCAGGCCACTTTCCTGTGATCCAAATCAGATTCAGGTCGGATTTTTTGCAATGTGACCATATCAGAATTCATGTGCCTTTATGTCACCCTAGATTTATATTCATCATGGGGGTCACTTCAGGACCGTGACCTGTTCACACTGGAATCTGATATGGGCCACATTCAAAGAATAATGTGAACAGTTACACAAAAGAAAATCTGATCTGAGCAGTGAATCAGAATTGAGCACTAAGATCACAGTGTGAACACAGTGTCTGTAACACTGGAGACTGCCTCTCATATTCTACCTCATAGTTAAAACTGGATCATTATATAGCCACCGTAGTTGCACACTTGGAAGACTGAGCTGTATTTAAATGGTTATAATCTGTGAATACACCACTAGATGCCACTGAATCCTACACACTGGTCCTTTAAACGAGCTGAGACCAAGTGCAGAGTTGGGTGATAATTCCATGTGGGTTTGCTTTCACATTACACATAATCCATATTCCATTGTTGATACAAAAAACATGCTTTATTTTGCACCTTCACTGAAGCTCACAGTACGCCAGCCGACGGCCTCGCATGTCACTTCCTCAACTACGAAGAGCCTCGAGTTCAGCACAACAGGCAGCAAAGGGCCACACACACACTCACACACACACACGCACAAAGACTGTGGTCGGAGACAATTGGTTCCGGCAGGCCTGTGAAAACAAACGGCGGGCTAATCTGAACTCAAAAACCCTCCAGATTTGATCTCCATTAAAACTCACTTTGCTGATGTGAAAATAACAAGGCCAGACAAACACCGCTGAGCTTAAAACACAAGAGGCAGGCTGGGTTTGGGGGCTGAGGAAGGTGGCATCACTCACAGCTCTGTTCACTGCGCTGCACCGCGAGGCAGCGCGCAGGCCAGATGACCCTGAAGTCGGTTGCAGCAGAGAATTCCAGTGGGAGGATTTGTGCTCGGGCTCCGAGACTCTTATCAGGCTGAGATATGATGATGGAGAGAGGAGTGTGTGGTCAGCGTGCGTGCTCTGAGAAGATGAGCAATGAGAGGATGGATGGATTGCAGTGAAAAAGCATGTGTGTTGTAACTCTGTATATTCTTCATTCAAGGCTGCTTTGAAGTGTGTGAGTTCATGTCACACATACACACTTTTCTACAATCTGCAACAATGTGTGAGTGTATGTGTGATCCCAGTGAAACCTCATGCTGGATAGATGTTGGTTTGGCTCTGTTGCATAAAAGTCAACAGTGACATCAGTGTTTGGCCCCCTGACTGAGATTAAATCTAATAGAGATTGAGATACTGTAATAACTTGGACCCTTCCCCGTGCCGGTCAGCCATCAACCTGTCATGTTATTCAGACACCCCACTGAGCACACACACATTCGGTCATACACACTGTCGAGGTCCAACAAATGCTGGCAATAAAACAACCATGGTTTTAATTTGAATTAATAACGCCCTTCCCCTTGTGAGGTGTTCTTGTTTCTGAGTTATCCAGGTTAACACAGTATGTTTTATACTTCATGCATGAATACATTTTACATCCTGTCCATGACAACCCGTGCACAGGGGCACTGCTGTCCTGGACGTAGCCACCACTGAGGACACCAACGTCAGATCATCTTTAAATAGAAAAAAAGTCACTAAGTCAAATTACAGCAAAGCACAAGTACTCGTTCCAGTCCTGGTATTACTTTACATTCGTACTATAATGTGTTTAAATTCCATCATCAGCTATACTGAGCCCCTCCTGTGTCACACAAGTCTTGACCAAAAACACAGTCACATGGTCTCAACCCACCCCCTTTCCCATTTTGCCTTATTGAATTAAGACACATAGTTTGGTTTTGACACAAGGCGGGCCTTGTCCCCATTGAATGGACAGCCACTGGTGGAGTGTGGTGCTGTCAGGGGCTGATGGGTAACCAGAGATGCAGGGTCACACCAAACTCTGACAAATACAACTACTGGTGAATGACTTGTCAGTTCCACCCCTACTCATACAGTATGTCATAAGAAAGAGTGGCTGATATAACCGAGACTTTAGAAAACAGGGACCAACAGCTCTGTATGGCTTCTCGATCACTTACAGGATTACAGGAGATAATAGTGTCTGAGGCCAAGTGTACACTGGACGACAAGATCACCAGATCAACAAAAGGTTCTCAGAGTCCAGCAGGGTCATTACGGAGTGTTGTCAGGCCCTGCTGTGAGAGGCTAGGCGGGCTCTCCTGTGCTCCTGACCTCATATACGACATCCTCATAATTATTAAACATGCTTAATACACTCTTGTAGTGCTCAAGGAGCCAAACTGTCAGTCTGGACAATGTCAAGACAGAAATTACTGCAGATAATGTGAGATGTCCTCCAACGAAGTGATGTATAGTGATCGCCTGTTCTGTGGATTAAACACAGTCATTAACCTTGGAGTTGTAACTAAAGATTGTAAATGAGAAAAGAATAACATATTTTCACTGAAAGAAAATAAGCTTGGTTAAAATACCCTTCAGCTCCAGTAACTGTAGTGGACCAGGAGAAAGAAATCAGAAACAAAACCTCAACAGCAACAGAGGAAGACAGGCAAGACCAGAGTCATTTTCGTAAGTATTTGTCTTCATAGCAGCAGTGATTTTTGGCCACTTGGGGGCAGAAGAACAAAATGTAAATACAACACTGACATATTATCACCTAGTGCATTAGCATTAGCACTGCATTCTCGCAAAGAGCGAAGCATCCATTTCTCTAAAATACCGAAAAGCCCAGCAGGTCACTCAAGAAAAACAGTAACGATAAACCGAAACAATGAACTGAAAGATGCTACA